ACTGATTATGCGATTTTCAAAGACAGTGCGCAAAAGATCGATTGTAGCATTGGCTGTGTGGCAAGGTGCGCCGTCCTGGTTGAAACCAAATGTCGTCTGTGTCCTCCTCTTCAAATTTGGGAAGCAAGAATTCGTTTAGCATGGCGCGGTAGCGCTCGTTATTGACAGTGACGGCAGCTTCTTGCTCATTTTCGAAGAAAAATGGCCTAATGATGCCGCCGGACCAAAAACCACACCAAACAGTCACTCGTTGTGGATGCATCGGCTTCTCCATGACGACGTGCAGATTCTCTGTCCCCCAAATACGACAATTCTGCTTGTTCACATAGCCACCGAGATGAAAATGACTTCGTCAGAAAAGATGATTTTTCAATAAAAATGCTCATCTTTAACCAAGCGTTGTTCAGTCCATTGGAACCGAAAATGCATCGGATGGTCATGCGGTTTCAATTCTTGCACTAATTGAATTTTGTATGACTTCATACAAATTTCGATTGCTTGAATCGACTAGTGTGAAAAGGAGCTTGCTGTCTGTTTCTCTCGACGCGCCGTAGGCGAGCGGACATGGGCTCGTGCTTGTATGTATGTTACAGCGCCGCACAACGATAAATGGCCGAATTTATAAGCGTGGAAAAGTGACGTTTTGATGACGAAATTTATCTTGCATGTCATTTCGTTATTATTTGCTTAATTGTGAAAATGTGACTTGTCTCGTACTTATTAAAATTGTAATTATCGATTAAAATTAAAATTATCTTGGAATTTTATATGTAAAAGCGTAAAAATATTTCACTCATTTCAACAGCTGTCGGACCTTGTGTTTCTGCCCGAATATAGGCTCACTTTATGTGTCATTTACTAACTGTCAAGGGAGGAAAGGACAGATTTCATTGATTTTTTTCGGCGTATAATCAAAGTTTTGAGATAAATGTATATAACAATATTGACACCGACTATTAAAGACCGACATCCTTACGGAAGTTCGCGTCCTAGTGAATATTGAAGTAATTAAAAGTTAAAAACTGATAATATTGTACCAATTTTATGATTTATTAGTTTAGATGTATTTATGCATTTAGAACTCAATAATATTCGAATTTTCTTTAAAATTGTGATTTCATTGTTATCATCAAAGTTTGATTATCAACATAGATGATGAGCTACAGAGAAAAAAATTGTAATTTTTCTGCAATGTATGGAATATTATAACATATTTTATAAGTATTTATTTATGGAACATTTATATAATAAAAAATCATGAATTTAATAAGCCAATATTTATGTTAATAATAGCAAATTTATATCAATTATCGATAATATCAGCATTCTTCAATTACGGGCCTTTGGGACTCTTTTAATACTGCCGAAAATTTGCCCACGGTTGACGGTCTTTAATATCTCGTCGCGGATATTGATTACCGTAAATATTTAACTTTAACAGCAATTGACGCTCTCGTATTTAGTTGATTTATATAAGCGGTCTTGTTTTAAGTATTATTATTTTGTAAACATCTTTAATAAGACTGAGGATATTATTTTAGAAAATAAAAATAACATATTGCAAAAATAACACAGTCTGTTGCGACTGATGCGATAGAAATTTCAAAAATTTCTTCTTGTTTCTTCTGTTTCTAAGAGAAACAGTACTGAGACAAATCCGATCAACAACAAAGTTTATTATAGTATACAGGGTCTGTAAAAAGCTGCAAGAGACAAAAATGTTTATTTTCTTGTTATAGAACTTTAAGAATTTTTTATCAATTTTTTGCTGTATTTTCTTATTTTTACCAACATGAGAAAATATGGTATTAAAAAATTCTGAAAAAATTCTCAGAACTTTATGAGAAGAAAATAAACAATTTTTGTCTCTTACAGTTTTTTTATAAAGTCGATAGTATGTGAAAACAAATTATTGAAGACCAATATTCGGCAATTTTTAGTAATTAATGTAATTCTTGTTATTACTATTGGGGACTTCCGTTTCTGATGATAGCGAAAGTTTGGTGATACCGAATTGATAAGCGAGCGGAAGACGAGAGAGAATGAGAGTGAGAGAGGCAGAGGTGCTGGGAGAGAGAGTGCAGGGATCAAAGCGTAGTGAAGTGTGTAAGAATGGTGAGGAATGTAGAAGGTAAAATAGCAGGGGAAGTAAAAAGATAAGTGAATGACATGAGGCAGGTAGGTGTATTGCGGGGAGGGTACAGGGAACCGGTAGACATGCTGAACATAGATTAGAAAGATGATAGAAAAGAAGCAGAGTGGGAAAGATCATAGGCTATACAAAATACAGAAAAACAAATATGTAGGTAAAGGATGATAGAGCATAGAGTATAAGAATTGAAGATAGAAGCATTCATTTATGATAGTTAGATAGAAGTAAAACAGAGATAGAATTGGTTAGACAGAAATAGGATCGGAGAAGACAGGGGAGGATTGGAAAGAAAAAGAAGGGATATTACTGATGGGGAGAAGAAAGAGTATAGATAAGGAAAGATCAGCAAGTATGGGAAAGCTAGAAGATATATGGGGAAAGAAGAGAGGAAAAAAGAGGAGGAGAGGGAGGATGAGAGAGAGGGATTTAAAAAAAATGATAGAACAATAAGGTCACCGCCGTGAAAAAAGAATGACGAGAGAGATGAATTAGGAAGATGAGAAAAGAAATGATTCAGATTTAGTGAAATAACAAAAGGAATTAAAAAGGAGATAAGAGAAGAGCTAGAGAATTTAAAGGAAGAATCGGGAAGAAAAAGGAAAAAGAGAGAGGGAGAATTTGAGGAGAAGAATAGAGAAATTAGAGGTTAGAGAGAAAGAGAGAAAAGAAGAAGAAAGAGAAAGAGAAATAAAGAAGTTAACTAAGAAATGGAGTAGATGGAAAGAAGTGGAGGGATAGAAGAGAGAGAGAGAGATAAAGTAGAGGGGAAGAAATGGGCAAAATTAGAAGGAAAATGTGAATAATGGAAAGGAGATTAGAAATGAAAAAAAAAGATGGAAAACAATGTGATTATAAAGGAATTGAAAAAAGAGAAATAGATAAAAGAAATAGTATTAAAAATAATGAAGGAGATAGAGGTTGAAGTTAAAATCAAGGAGATAAAAAAATTAGATAAGGATGGAAGAGAAAGGATTGAAATTATGATAATTAGGTTAAGAAGCGAAGATCAGAAGAGAGAGATTATGTATAAGAAAAAGAAATTAAAAGGAAATATGGTATGGATAGATGAGGACATGACATGGAAAAAAAGAAAAATGAAATGTGCATAAGAAAGATATAACAAGAAGAAAGAAGAGGTAAGAGAGTGAGAATAGGATATAAAAAAATCAAAATGGAAGACGAATGATGATATTGGAATGATAAGGAAGAAGTTTTTAAAAATAAAAATAATACAGGATGGGGGACAATGAATCAAGAGGAGAGGAAGAGCAAGAAATAGGAAGGAGAATGGAAAATGGCAGGAAAGAAGGTAGAAAGAGTAGTAGAAAGAGATAGAGAGGGAAGAGAGGGAGAAAAAATGAGTGAAGAGAGAGGGAGGGAGAAAGAGAAAGTGAGAGATGGAAGGAGAGGGGGAAGGTGGAAAATAGTATTTTGGAACATAGCAGGAATGGAAAATAATGAGAGAGTTTTGGAAGGACATGGAAAATTGGGACATAATGTTTTTAACGGACATATAGACGGAGAAAAACTGCGAAAGAGTAGGAGAAAGATACCAAAGGAATGGAAATGGGAGTTTACGGAGAGAAGTAGTAAGAAAGGAAGAATGAAAGGGGAAATAGTACTTATGAAAAAAGAATTAAAATGGAAGGATAAAATAAAGATGTGTAAAGGGATAAAGGAGGTAAAATTAGAGGGAGAGAAATGGAGAATAACGATGGAGAACGACATTAGAAAAAGGGATAAACAAGCAAGAGGAACAGGGAAAGAGAGAATGTTGAACGTAAGAAATCAAAAAAAGAAGTTAGGAAGGAGTTAAGAAAGTGGAGAAAAGAAGAACGAGGAAAAGGAGGAACGAATATGAGAAAGGAAAGGAGAGGAAGAAAATATTAGATGGCAGAGGAAAGAAGAGATGGCAAGATCTCAGGGAAAAGTATGGGAGAAAGTAAATAGGGAGAGAAAGAAGAGAAGAAGATTGAATGAAGAGATAGAGATGGGCTAATGAATAATTCTATTTCATGGAATTATTAAGAAGAGTAGAGCAAAGGGTTAGTAGGGATGGATAATAAATTGATGGAGCAACAAGAAAGGGAAATAGGAGAAGAAGAGTTCAGAGAGCATTGAGAAGAGGGAAGGATGGTAATGCGATCCCGATGGAAGTTTGGAGGTAAGACAGTTGAAGAATGGGCAAGAAATATATACAATAGGGTGTGGAAAGAAGAGGGATGGCCGGAAGTATGGAAGGAAGGAGAAATAGTATCAGTTATAAAGAAAGGAAAAGGAAAAATGGTAGAAGAATATAGGGGAGTTACACTGATGCCGACTTTATATAGATTATATAATTTTAGCAGATAGGCTAAAGAAAGTAATGAAGAAGAAAGATAAGAGAATCAGTTAGGTTGTAGAAAAGGTATGGGAACAACATATATGTATTATTTGGTGTGGATAGTAAATTATTTGGTGAATAGGCAGGTTAGTAAGAAAAAAGAGAAGATGGTGGCGGTGTTCATTGACCTGAAGGTAACATTTGATTCAATAGATAGAGAAATGTTAAGTAAAGAAATGAGAAAGAAGGAAACTATGCGAGAGACTAATAAGAATAATAGAAGAAATACAAAAAGAAACAGTTAGTAGGGTAAGAGAGTAGGAAAAGAATAAGGAGAGAAATTTTGGACAGCGAGAGGATTAAAACAAGATTGTGCATTGAGCCCTTATTTGTTTTATGTTCTAATAACGGATATAGAAAAAGAAATGAAAAAAGGAAAATGGGGAGGAAAAAGTATATTCTGGTTTACGTGGATAATATTGGGTATGGGAAAAAGTTCGTGGCATTTTTCCCGCTAGATGGCATTAAATTCAGCTCGGCAACACTAGACGTGCATTTAAAAAATGACATTTTAACCTTTGTTTTGAGTCGAAAAAGATTGAAATCGGTGAAGTGGATCAAAAGTTATTTTATTTTGAAAATGGAAATAAATAAGGAAAAAATTTGCTACATTTTGCAATATCACTGCGATAAAGGTAAGAATGCTGCACAGGCTTGTGAAAAAATTTGCGCTATTTACGGTGAAGATACTCTATCAAAATCAGCAGCACGGAAATGGTTCACTCGCTTTCGTGCTGGAAATTTTGATGTGAAAGATGAACCTCGCTTCGGTCGACCAATTACTGAAAAGTTCGATGAAATCATGGTAAAAGTCGAGCGTGATAAGCATGATGAGCACTGTGGAGATTGCCAGGGAACTAGGCATCGACCACAAAACAGTTTTAAATCATTTGTACAAAGCTGGATACAAAAAGAAGCTCGATGTTTGGGTTCCTCACGAGTTGAGTGTTAGGAACATGATGGACCAAATTAACATTTGTGATATGCTACTGAAACGGAATGAAATTGAGCCATTTCTGAAGAGAATGATAACTGGTGATGAAAAATGGATCATCTATTGGACAATCCAACTAGAAAAAGAACGTGGATAAAGAAAGGAGAGAAGATGCAAGCAATCGCAAAACCTGGATTGACGAGGAAGAAGGTGATATTGTGTGTGTGATGGGACTGGAAGGGAATCGTTCACCATGAGCTGTTATCGTCCAATCAAATACTTAATTCTGAACTCTACTCTGTGAACAGAGTATGAACAGTGCAGAGATTACAACAAGCAATTGAGAGGAAGCGGCTAGAATTAATCAATAGGAGAGGTGTCGTCTTCCATCACGACAACGTTCGACCGCACCATCTTTGATGACTCGGCAAAAATTGCGAGAGCTTGGCTGGGAAGTTTTAATACATCCATCGTACAGTCCTGACATAGCACCTTCAGACTATCATTTGTTTAGGTCTCTATAAAACTCTCTTAATAATGTAAAGCTAGCTTCAAAAGAGGCCTGTGAAAATCACTTAAAGCAGTTTTTCGAAACCACAGAAGTTCTATGACTCTGCCCCAAAAATGGCAAAATATTATAAAAAATAATGGAACATATTTGGTTTAAATAAATTGATTTCAATACTCTAAGAAAAACACTTTAATTTTACTAAAAAATCGCCACGAACTTTTTTCCATACCCAATATAATATTATTAGCAGAGGAAGAAGAATGATATGAGAAATATATGGGAAGATTGGAAAGATATCTAGAGGAAAAAAGGTTAGAATTGAACAAAAATTGGAAGAAACAAAGACATTAAGATTTAGGAAAGGAGAGGGAATAAAGAGGAATATAAGATGTGGAAAGGAAGGAGAATAGAAGAAGAGGAGTATAAATATTTAGGATTACTATGAAAAGAAATGAAGGACAGGATGCTCATATAAAGTGCGAAGAAAAGGGTAGTATTAATGAGACACGTATGAGGAAAAGAAAATTCGGGAAGGAGTGGGGAAAAAGGTTATTTGACACGTTAGTATGGTCAGTAACGAGTTACGTGGTAGAAATATGGGGATAGAAAGAGAGGGAGGAAATAGAGAAGATTAATGATATGGTGGTGGGAGTAGAAAGAGATACGTCAGGATATATGATGATATGAGTTGAAGGGAAGAGCGGGACTAAGGGCATGGAAATTTGAGAAAAGAATAGAAGAAGGTAGAGGGGGAAGATGGGCGAGGAGATGGGGAGGAAGAGAAGAAGAGGAGGGAGAAGGGTATGAATTTAACAGGATGGGAAAGAGAGAGAGAGAGGAATTTTGGGAAAGCATAAGAATGGGAGAGAATAGGGAGAGAAGAGAGAAAGAGAGGGAGAGGTAACTGCAGAAGGAAGAGAGATGGAAAAAAAATTAGAGATTGTGGATATAATAGTTGGTAGAAGATTAAAGAAGTGGAAATTCCAAGTCACAAAGAAAGAGTGGATAGAGAAGAGATGGAGGAGGATAGTTAGATTTAGATTGGGAAATGAGGTAAGAGGGAGGAGATATTGCGAGAAGGAGGATAAAAAGATATGCTTTGTGAAGGGGAGGAGGAGACTTGAGAACGTATTTGGGAGAGATGTAGAACATGGATAGAAAAAAGAAAAGATAACTAAACGTGGCCGGATAACTTCTAGGTGATATTAGGAGAAGGAGGGGACGAAGAAGAATAGATGAAAGAAATAGAGAGAGAGAAATAGAGAGAAAAAGAATGAAGGAGAAAAGCAGAAGAAAAATGGAGAAGAAATGGAGAGAGAAGAAAGAGAGAGAGAAAAAAAAACGGAAGTCCCAGGGAAAGGGAACTTAAGATTGTAAGTATAGGAGCGTGACGTTAGTTATATATAATATTGGGGGAAGGGGGGAAGGGGGGAGGGAGAGAGAGAGAGAGAGAGAGAGAGAGAGAGAGAGAGAGAGAGAGAGAGAGAGAGAGAAGAAAATTAAGCGATCTTAGGAGTTATTTTGCGTGATTGGATGTAATCTATGAAAGAAAAAGAAATATGTAATTGTATCTTTGGTACTATAAATTAGAAATTAGAGTTGTAATATTTAGTAGATGTAATACAAGGATTAAGGAGAAGTGGAAGTTCTTGTAACCTCTATGGGAGAACAATAAATATATTCATTCATCTTGTTAACTATTGCGAAAATTGCAAAATGTTTAAGGACTTTTCGACTTAATTTAATCCGCTCTACCTGCCCATGAATGTTGTATGGAACACTCTGTTTACAAATATCCGGCAAATGTTGTTATTCTTCGATATAGCACCCTTATTACTTTACTTTAAATATGAAGCGCCATTACGGTCTGAATGTTTAACTATTATATAATATATATTCATTTAAATTAATTAATTTCAGAAATGATAATTGCATGCCGATATAGTTGTCGGATTTTCAACGCAATCAATCTCAAATATTAATAATCCCTCCAAGTTTATTACTTAATACCCTTATTACTTAAACCCTTATTACTTAATGACTTAATATCCAATTACTGATGAAATATTTAACCAAATCTCAACGGTCATCATGTATATAAGGAAGTCATTTTTTTGTTATCTCAAATTAAATAATTTCATATAAAAGAGAAGTGTAACAGTTAATGCAAGTGTTGATTGCGTAAAAAAAAATATATTAGATTTTCATTATATTAAATGTGTAAAGATATAATGATATTTTCGTAAGTTTTATTTTTTAAATTTATATTTTTTTATTTCATTATAAAGACTATTTCAATTATAAAACCCAAGTGATATTACCTTTACAAGAATATGTGTTTCTCGAAGAATAAACTATTGTAGCAAATTATAAAATTCAAGTATGCGGCGGTACCATTTCTATTATTTTAAAACTCAAGTAGTATACTTTTTATTATTTATTTAACTAAATATAACATCACGAGGCATTAGGAGTCGGCGCAAATACTGATTTGTACAAAAAAATGACAATAATAAAAATATAAATAAATTTAATTAATTTTGCATTTCTCGCGATGCTACATTTATTTTCATTCTGTGAATTAAAAGACTTCTCAAAATAGTAATAAATAGAAATAAATAATAATTATTTTTTAAAATAATTATTTCTTTTATTTATCGTGATTTATTTAACTTTAATGATACGCATCATATAAAAGATTTGATATCAATAATTGGCGCCAAGTTAAATTGGAATTAAAAAGTAAAACCTGAGTAGTAGTTACTTAATTCTAATGATATGTATCATTTGTATAAAAGATTTGATATTGTTGCGCCCGTGCAGCTAATTCGCAAGGTCGCTCTCGCAGACGCGTTCGCGCATTCCCGAACTGCAGAAATAAAATTCATGAATATAAAAGAAAAAAACAAGATTATACAAAACAAGATTAACATTTATTAATAAGGAGAACAC